CTCTGGAACTCCCATGAGCTCTCACCATGACCACCAGAGTGCATCCACCTCCTCCTGCTATCTCCCACCTGTCTCCTAAGAGGACACCTCCTCAGCCACGTGTCCTTGTCCATCCTAAAATGGATCACAGGATGGAAGCTGAACCTGAAAATGACTCAGGATTGCAGGGGAAGGAAGATGAGTGTGGTGTGTTCATCCCATACATGCTGGTGGCATCTCCATAGTGATGGAGGAAAAGGTCCTGCCATGTGGATCCTAGGTTGAGCAGCTCAGAGCACAATGATGATGATGATGAGCAGCACATGGATGCAGCACCCTGGTGTGGGGATCACATCGGTGCCCCTTAAAACACAAAGGAAATGGTTTATCTGCTCCTCTCATGCCTAAACTCATCCCTGGCTCTCCCCAGACTGTCTTGGATGCTTCCACCCTCCAGCTCCCAAAGCCACCCACAAACCACCAATAAAGCTTCAGAGCTCTTCTGAGTAGGAGGTAAGGTAACAGGGGAAACTGAGGCATGCAGAGGTCAAACACCATTACCCTGCTAAACCCGTTCCTCTATAAAGATTTGAGTTGCTGCTCTTGCCTGCAGAAGGCAAAAGATCAAAGACCTCATGGGATCTGCAACCACCTCCCATCCGTTTGAGCTGCACCAAGGTCTGCACTAAATGCTCCTGTATGGATGAGAAAGCTGGGGCTGTTGAGCCTGGAGAAGAGAAGCTGCGTGGAGACCTCAGAGCAGCTTCCAGTGCCTGAAGGGAGCCTATAGGGATGCTGGAGAGGGACTCTTCATCAGGGACTGCAGTGATAGGACAAGGGGTGATGGGTTCAGACTGAAACAGGGGAAGTTCAAGTTGGAGATAAGGAAGAAGTTATTTACTGTGAGGGTGCTGAGGCACTGGAATGGGTTGCCCAGAGAAGTGGTGAATGCTCCATCCCTGGCAGTGTTCAAGGCCAGGTTGGACAGAGCCTTGGGGGACATGGTTTAGTGTGAGGTGTCCCTGCCCATGGCAGGGGGCTGGAACTGGATGATCCTCAGCTCCTTTGCATCCCAAACCCTTCCCTGACTCCATGAACAGCTGTGAACACCCTCAGCAGCTCCGCACCTCCCCGAACCCTTCCAAAGCCAAAGCGTTTGAGCGTGCTCAGCGGAGCCGTTAGGAAAAGCCTGTAGCGAGCAGCTTCCATTACCGTTACGACCGTGAAATATGACAAGGAAATGATGGCCGTATGGTCCCAGCTTTGCAGCCCGACGACTTGCTGGGGCTTTATCGTCACTCAGACGTGCAGAGAGCTGTAAAATGTTTACAGAAAGGGTCGTTTGTAGCTATAAAATCCTCTTTTCTCTCCTAAACAAGGCTGAGCGGAGCCATTTACAAAGCCCTGAATGTTCATCGGGGGAGAGGGGAACATCTGTTCACTCCAGGAGTTTTCCGTGAGCTTCTCGAACAAATTAACTCAAATGGGTGCTTTCTAATTAAATTAGCACTCGATTGGAAGGGCTCTGCGTTGCTGGAGTTGCTTACAATGAGAGCGGGGAGGCCGCTGAGGCTCCAGCACAGGCGATTGAACTGGAAGGTGAAACAGGGAAAGCCCATTACCTGGTGGAGGGGTTGGGGAGCCTGTGCTGCCTCTGGGTTTGCCCTTCTGGATGGAGAACACAAGCAGGTGAAGGATGGGATGCCACCAAGCCCAGCTTTCCCAATGGGGATGCTTGGCTGGAGGGGTTTGCTCTCGCCATGGGCTTCTTGGAGGATGCTTTGAGCACTCTCAAATTACAAGGGTTGGGAACCCTCCCCAAGGGAGGACGACATCAGACCACATGCAGACTACATACAGTCATAGAATAAGGTTAGAAAGGACCTTAAGATCACTTAGTTCCAACTCCCCTGCCATGGGCATCAGTCCTTTCCAGCCCCCCTTTATCTATATCCCAAGGCCAGACACTGCAGCCCGCACTGAGACCCTGCAAGCTGACGCTGTTGCCCACTCTGGTGCTTAAAGGTCATCTCCAATCCCCCCCTCCATCTCTCCCAGACACAGAGCTGGTGCTTTTCTTTGTTTCTCCTGTATTTACCTGTATTAAAAAGGTATTTTCTCAAACTGTGACCATTTAAGCAAGCAATTCAGCTCCGTCTGTAATAATAACCTGTCCTCCTCCTTAGTTACTACCTTGCCAATTTGTGTGTCACCTTCAGGCTTTACAAGCAGAAACCCACTATTATCCCTGCTACGATGGCTGCAGCAGGGAAGGTGCAGACCCCAAACCCCATCACAGACACCAGCTACTACCTAAAGCTATGCAAGGATTCATCCTGACCACCCGCTCAGCTTGAAACAGCACCTTAGGCTCATAAGCTAAGTCCCAGTGATCAGAGAACTGTAGAATGGTTTGGGTTGGAAAGGACCTTAAAGCTCATCCAGTTGCAACCCCTGCCACGGTCAGGGACCCCTTCCACTAGAGCAGGGTGCTCCAAGCCCCTGTGTCCAACCTGGCCTTGAACACTGCCAGGGATGGGGCAGCCACAGCTTCTCTGGGCACCCTGTGCCAGCACCTCAGCACCCTCACAGGGAAGAGCTTCTGCCTACGATCTAACCTGAACTTCCGCTGTTTCAGTCTGAACCCATCACCCCTTGTCCTATCACTGCAGTCCCTGATGAAGAGTCCCTCTCCAGCATCCTTGTAGCCCCTTCAGACACTGGAAGCTGCTCTGAGGTCTCCATGCAGCTTCTCTTCTCCAGGCTGAACAGCCCCAGTGTTCTCAGCCTGGCTCCATACAGGAGCTGCTCCAGCCCCTGATAATCCTCACTGTCCTCCTCTGGACTTGCTCCAACAGCTCCACGTCCTTCTTATGTTGAGGACACTGCAAGATTGATTTGGCCAACATGAAGCATTTGGTCCTTTAGCAGCATCAATGGCCTCAACCTGTTCATCCGTGGCCAGAGCTCCTTTTCTGCCGTTAGGTTATAGGGGCCCCTGGCTGCTGCTGCACCCCTGAGACCATTCACTTGTGTCTGGAGATGAGAGTTTAATTACCCAGCACATCCCAGGGCATGGGCAAACCCCAGCACTGAGCAGCATCCTCATGCCCAGGCTCACCACGTGCCATCACTGCATCCCTTTGGCAGGGAAATTGCTTCATCATCAGATCATTTTATAGCCATCTGCAATTCCTGCCTGGTTTTCCTTTCCTATGGATCCTCCAGCATCTGCTCTCCTGATGCCACGTGCTCCCTGGGCAAAGGCAAATGAGAATGGAGCGATGCATTCCCTGACCATGTACCCACAGCCCTCCTCCTGACATCCCTGGACCAAACCAGCTCCTTCTACTCATCCTCCCATCCAAAATGCCTGGAATCATCCTCCCCTGAAAGTGCAAACTGGATTTAAAAGGAAAAGGATGCCAGGATGATGCCTTTGTCCTCTTGACCGAGTTATTCCAGGCTGCCAAGTGCAATCCAGGGCATTCCAACAGCGTTCTTGTCCACGGATTAACTGCTCCATTGTGATCACAGAGATAAAACCACCTGATTAAGCTGCTGCTTCCTTGGCCCTGCTGTTGAGCTCAAAAGGGAACTGAACCAAGGCCAAGGAAAGGGAAGGAGGGAAGTGCCCAGGGCAAGAAATCCCTGGGAAGAGAAGCCAAGAGCTTCACCCCATGTCATGGATGGGAGCGTTCCTGGCTGGACCGGTCTCCATCGTGCCATGGTTTGACAGCACATGCACTCGCCTGTGACTTCAGGAACATGTTGCTAATCCTGGGAATTTTCTTTCCAACAGCATTCCCTGGCTCAAAGTGCTTCATGATCGAGAAAGACACAGCCTTGCAGATCCTTGGTACCTGCTCATGGATGAGTATAAGTGCCCCAGCCTGGCTTTAGGCGCTGAATACATTCCTTATCCCTGCAGGATCCTGCATGGGATTGGAGATGTGGAGGGATGATTCCTTTGTCAAACGCTGCCTCCCTTTCAGCAGTGGTGCTCAGGAGACAAAGCTGCTGCACATCCCTCCAGTGAAGGACAGGAGATGAATGGGAAAGTGTGAAGCATCATCCATCCAAAAACCTCCCACCCAGAGCTGGGAAGGACCAAGCACAATCTCTGCCTCGCTATCACCATCTCCATCACCTCTGCTCCCATGGGTGCATCCCCAGGTTGCCTCAAAGTCTCATCCTTTACTATAGAGGTGCTGGTGGTTTTCTAGTGTAGGAGCTGAATCAGGAGAGGAAGAACGAAGGAAAACACTGGAGAAGCAGGAATGCAGCTAACCTCCACCATGAGCTGCTTTGCTCCCACAATTTTCCCCATCTTTTACCTCCACAATTTCAAACAGTTGAAACATTTCCATGAACTCTTCCAAGATTGCTCTCCCATGTCAAGAATCCCTAAATTTTGCTCATCCTAAAACTGCATTTTTCCCTATTTCCAAAGTCTCCTCCCTTAGTTTTTAACAGAACAACAAAGCAGATAATCCCAGATTAATAGGATCTTCCCTTGAACTTCCAACCTGCAAACACATCATCCCACCTCATTTATCCTGAAGTAAGGGATGTTCTGGTTTCAAAGCTCTGAAGCTGTTTCATGTCAAGAAACACAGGTGATGGATGGTCCAGAGATCACTCTGTGGGTCCAGTGGTAAGGCAGAGCATCACTGTATCCCTCGTGAAACACCCTCCTACCAGGGAACGCTGTGATTACATCACAGGAACAAGACTGGATTAATCATCAGGTAATTTATGGGATAAGGGAAGATAAAACATGGGAACAAAATCCTACCATGGTTTTGGGAGCAGAGCCAGGAGCTCATGCACCTGCATGCACAGAGATACGAGTCCCAGATGCCATCCCAGTTTGGGCTCCCAGTGTTAACGGGTTTGTTGACTCATGAGGAGCACTGATCCCACCAAAACCCACGGAGAGCAGTGAGGAATAACTCTCCCACTTGGAACTGGAGCAGCTCGGAGCACACGTGAGCAAACGCAGTGCAAGTGCTTCCTACCTGGCTCTTCCTCTGGCTCCTCCTCCTCCTTCACTTTGCAGCTCTGGTCACTGGGGGATTCTGGGGACTGGAGGGAGATGAAGGACGGCAGCTTCTGTGGCCAGCTGGCTGGGGAGGTGTTTGCTTCCTTCCAAAACTTCACCTCTTTCTCCACACTGGAGGGTCCAGGCACTTCCCCATCATCGTGGAGCTGAGCTGCATCATTCCTGCAGAGACACATGGGAAAAACAAGGAAAACCAAAACGATCCCACTTGGCAATGCTGGGCATGGAAGATGCTTTCCAATCATGTGCAATGGAAGAGGCTGGGGTGAACCACCAAAGCCACACATGGAGGCTCCCCAAGCTTCATCCCAGGCTCTGATACCCCAGCTTGGGTTAAGCTGGGGTTTCTCACTTCCCAGTTGGATTCCCTGCTCTGCTTTCCTGCAGGGTTTCCAGTCCTCAGATGCTCCTGGAGATGCTGGGCTCCTGTTTGGGTGCTGTTTGAGCTGAGTGAGAACTAAAGAGGGGAGATGGACACTGTGGGGAGCAGGGATGCTTGGGGGATGCCCCACTGGGCTTGGCTCATATGCAACCCTGCTGTCCTGCATCAAGCCCAGCTAAGAGACCCTTCAGCTCCTTCTACATCCCCATAAAGGCAAAATCCCTCCAGAGCAGCTTATAAGCTTGGATATGCTCCCTTCCAAGTGGAGGCTTCCAGGAGCTGGCCCTGGGACAGGAGGAAGGTGCCTCCCTACCTAAGAAGAGCAAGGAGCTATTCTACGCCTTGTTCACACCAGGGACCTGAGCTGGGTGATATTCCAAGGCTCTTCTGTAAACCAGGGTAAGTTTGAAGAGCCAAATGAATACTCATCCCCCTCTGCTACCTTACAAGGTAGAGCCAGGACTGGGCAAGAGCATGGACCAGCCCAGCCCAGCTCCCAGGTCTCTCCATTTCCATCCCATCTTCACCCCACATGCATCTGCAAAGAGCCATGGAGGAGCTGAGCACCCAAACTGATATTTTCTCCTCCCATGAACCAGGACTTCTGGATTTTGGCTTTTAAAGCCAAATTTCAACTTAGCTTTCATTTTTGTTACACTGGATGCAGTTGTTCTGCAGGAAGGGCAGAGTAAGACAAGGATGTGCCAAGCTCAAGAAGTCCGATCTCCCTGTGAGGATGAGGACCAATGTGTCCATCATCAGTCTGCAGCTTCATCCCAACACCCAAAAGCATCAGAGAAAGCTCAGAGAGCTTCCAAGGATTAACCAAGGACCCAGCCCAGCATCAAATGGTTTTACAAAGCCTTTTGTATCTCCATATCCATCCCCATCTCTGCTTCTGCAGGCAGGGAGTCCAGCCCTGATGGTGAGCCCCTCCATGCCACATTGAGGGCTCAGCTCTGCTCTCTGCCATGGAGAGGAGGGCAAGGGCTGATGGTTTCAGTCTCCCACAGAGCTATGGATAAGCTATACCCACTTTCAGCAGTGGAGTTTCCATCAGGACTCCTCCATCTCCCAGGAGGAAGGTTTACAAAAGCCTCAGAGATACCTGGAAGCCCATTTCCAAGGGAAGATACCTACACCTCAATGACACATATTAGATGCAAGCCATCCTCTTTCCTTTGGATGGAGACCTCTCCCTCAAGCATGGATCCTGCTCAACCATATCGCCCATGGTCAACAGGCCACCACAGTGACGCACATCAGGAACATCTCAAACCACACCAGCACACAGACAAATATACACTTGGAAGAGGAAACATCTGGAGCAGGTTGGGAAGAAAACTGTTTTAAGAGCAGCAAAATGAGTTTCTTCTGCTCTTTCCTACCTGCCTGTCTCCTTTGAGACCTGTCTCCACTTGGAGGGGGGGGCACTGCGTTCCCCATCTTCTCCTTCTCTTGGGCGACGTCTCTTCTGTGGGTGCAGCAGCTTGCACCGGGCACCCTTGGGGCAAACCCCGTTCTTGGCAAAGTCAGGGCAAACCAAGGTGTGCTTCTTCTTGCACTGCAAGGGAAAAAGAGGACAACATTGGGAAAGGCAAGGAAAGCCCTGCAGGGAGCATGGGTTCCCAAACAGGCATCTTCAGGTGGCACCAACACGCTGCTGAAGGAAGAGAAGGATGCGTTGGTGCTTCCCTCTCCGTATCAAATCACTGTTGCATACCAAGACAGTGATAAGAATCAGATGCTCCTCCAAATATGGTGCTTCCCAAGTGCCTGATTTTATGGACCCAACCCATCAAAGTCTTAACAGCAACAATCTGCCCTCAAGGAGGTGATGCTGGGAGATGCCAAAGAGGCTGGAGAAGCTCTTTAGGAGAGGACACAGGGTTTTCTTGTCCCAGGCATGCCTGGGACTCAGGGAAGAGCAGGAATGAAGCACATCCTTTACAGGACTTATTTTGGGATCGCTGTTTGGATCAAGGGGGTGCTCAACCTGCTCTTGCTCAGGGGTTGGAAATGAGCTTGGTTGATGCTCTCCTTTCCAAGAAAGCTTAGTGTGGCCATGGCATGGGACTGGCATCAAGGTGTTCACCCCTACCAGTGTGTCTGTGCTACCAGCTGGGCATTCAGCTGTGCCAGTAGGTGGGAGATGCCAGAAGTGTTCCATAACTTTCCCCCACACAAAGCTTTCTGCTGGGAAATGGCACCTTTTGGCAGCAGGCAAGGCAGGAAGAGAAGCAGGAAGGGCAGAGGAGACACTTCCAGGTGTGATTTCTATCTGGGTGGTTGGGAATGTTGGCCAGAGGGAGAGAGAAAGAGCTGCCTGTCTCACCTCTGATGGTTCTCAACACCATGACAGCAATATCAGGCCAGAAAGCTTGTCCCAAGGTATCCCAAGGGATGCAGGGTGGGTGCAGGTCATAAAAGCCTTGCTCAGGGGAAACCCACTCCCAGCCAGGATGCTCCCATCCATCCCATTCAGCTTGGTTTTGCAGGGACCAGGGGTGTGCACCACATTATGACACCCATGGCGAGATGCAATCCAACACACATGGCACAATGATAAGATCACAACCCCTTGTTGACCTTCTCCTCAGTCGAAGATGGAGCCTGCCTTTTCCCCACATGGGTCCTTCCACTCTGGGATGCCCACACTGCAAACCTCCTTGCTATAGGGATGCTCAGATTTTGCATGGGCTTGGGTGAAAACAACACAAATCATAGCATCACAGAATGGTTTGGGTTGGAAGGGGCCTTAAAGCTCATCCAGTTCCAATTCCCTGCCAGGGGGAGGGACACCTTCCACTCGAGCAGGTTGCTCCAAGCCCCATCCAACCTGGTTGTGAGCGTTTTAGCATCACCATGCTTGCCTGTTTATATAAATGCCTCTTCCCGATGATGCGGGATGTAGGTGAGCTCCTGCCCTTTTAAAGCAACTCAACTTTGGGAGCACGGGAGCAGCTCCTTGTGCTGACCTTTGGGATGAGGCAGCAGGCCTGCTGAGCCATGGAAGCTCTCTCCTGGAAAGGGCAGCAGGGTTCAACAGCTCTGCCCCCCAGGGCCGGGCACCGCAGCCAGCATCGGAGCAAGGAGCTTCTCTGCTGGAGGTTGGGGATGGTGCTGAGCAGCAGGAGGGCTGGGGATCCAGATGGACACACAGGCATTGGCTCAATGGGGGGGACGGTGCAGTGACAGCACTGCTTTTCCACTGAAAAGTCATTAAAAACCCCATTTCCTGTGACTTTTCCCCTCTATTTGAAGGAGCTTCAATAGCAAGTATACAAGAGAACAGGCAACCCGAAAGTAGTGGTGTCTCTACTTAGTTCTATGATGATTCTATGATCCTAAACAGTGTCCAAACTCTGCCATTACTCCCAAATCCTACATTTCATAGAAACATAAAATTATGGAATGGTTTGGGCTGGAAGGGACCTTAAGCATCATTTAGTTCAAAGGAGAAGAGCAGGAAAAAAGCCCTGGCCACATGGATGCATCACCCTTGCAGCCAGCACTGATGCTGCTACACCAAGGAATGATGCTATTTTGGAAGAAAAGCCAAGAGATGTGGCTGTTTCTTCCCAAGGGACCAGTTACAAGTCTCTGTGGAGGGGATGGTGCCATGGTCATGGCTCGATACCGGGATCAGGATGTGCCACCTTCCCAATGCTCTCACCAGCACCCATCTCCAAGTCAATCACTGCACCAGACCACATTTATTGGCTCCATAGCGATAAGATACTTCATAAAGACAACAAACCATGTCCCACTAATCCCAGGGCCGTGTCCCCAGCTCAGGTTTCTTAATGGTTTTTCCACACCATTCGCAGCGCCCAGCCCTTCTCCCGTCCATCACCGCTGCTTCAGGCCTGGGATGGTGAAGCTGGGATCACCTCCCTGCTGGCCCCAGTGGCTGGAAAAGCCCTTCCTGTTTATTTACAGCAGGTCTGCTGCTCCTGCCCTGCGTGCCAGAGCAAACACGATGGGGTTGGGTTGCTGTTAAGGCTCTTTGCTGCTGTGTGTCAGCCGGGGTGAAGCCGAGTGGGGCTGTGGGACAGCGGGCAGGACCATAGCTGAGGCCATCGGATCCCTTCCACCTGTTGGGGTGGTAAGTTACACCCCATGGGACCCCTGCCAGCCCATAGGTTGGACCATAAGAAGAGAGATAAAGCCTCTGGTCCCTCCCAGCAAGACAACAGAAAACCCACAGCACCCCTAAGAAGCCATAGGGAGAAACCCCCTGGCTCCATTGGGTGCTGATGAGGATGCTATCATCCCATTGCTGCTGTGCCCATCCCAATCTCCCTGCCCTGGGCTTTTCCCACAGCCTGACCAGCAGCAGTGCCCAGCGCTGGGACAGTGCCCATTGGGAAGCCCCTGTGGCTGGGACTCCATCCTGGCTGCCAAGGCAGCTTTGGGTGAAAGTCAAGGTGCTGTCAACGACCCACAGAGCCTTAAATGGCCCAAGGGGCCCTGACGCACACGTGGAGCAAGACAAGGAGGAGGAGGTTTGCAGGGCCCTGCCTTCTTTAGCATGGACCTGGCAAAGGAGGGGGCAGCTGGTAGCAGGTCCTGGGAATGACGTTAATGAACATTTTCCACGAACCAGCTTGGCAGGAGGCAGAAGAGGGCAGGAGGAAGGTGAAGCTGGGTTACTGGGCCGACCAACAACCACCCATTGACCTTACAGGAGGGGAATGAGAGGTCCCATCCAAGCCAGCATTCCCGGCTCCGCTCCACCAGCCGTTTGTCCAGGTTGAATTTCTCAAGTGTCTCCAGGCTTGTCTCTTCCCCTGCTCGATTGTTGGTTTCTTAACATTTGTGCCAAGGGACCAGCAGGTGGATGAGAGATGGGAAAGCGTTGGAGCATCCTCCCATCTCTTTGGGCCCATTCACATCTCTCCATACCCCATGATGGAGAGGAGACATAATCATGGAATGGGTTGGGCTGAAGGGACCTTAAGATCATCCAGCTCCAACCCCTGCCATGGGCAGGGACACTTTCCACTAGAGCAGCTTGCTCCAAGCCCCTGTGTCCAGCCTGGCCTTGAACACTGCAAGGGATGGGGCAGCCACAGCTTCTCTGGGCACCCTGTGCCAGCGCCTCAGCACCCTCACAGGGAAGAGCTTCTTCCGTATCTCCAACCTGAACTTCCCCTGTTTCAGTCTGAACCCATCACCCCTTGTCCTATCACTATAGTCCCTGATAAAGAGTCCCTCTTCAGCATCCTTGCAGCCCCCTTCAGACACTGGAAGCTGCTCTGAGGTCTCCATGCAGCTTCTCTTCTCCAGGCTGAACAGCCCCAATGTTCTCAGCCTGGCTCCATACAGGAGTTGCTCCAGCCCCTGATCATACTTGTGGCCTCCTCTGGACTTGCTCCAGCAGCTCCATGTCCTTCTGATGTTGGGGACAAGCTCAAGCTCTCAAGCACGTAAGTGCTTTCTGTGTTTTTAAAGCTCTCTGCACATCCACGTTGTTCACCAGAGCTTTTGCAGGTGGTCCCATCTCCAAGCATCAGGATTAACTGGGTGGATTGATGTCAGCCTGGTTTAACATCCCTCTTACCCACCACGTCTCGGTGGTAAGTGGCTGTTGGGAAGCTATTGCTGGAGGTGGCCGAGCTGTTTCCTGATGCTGCTCTGATCTGACAGCCAGGAAATGGCTTTTTCCTGATGGCTTTATTATAATTGGGAGCAGATGGAAGCAGCCTTACAAGGAATATTCCAGCTCCCTGTTGCTAAAACCTGGAGGACAAAACATCCAGGCATATCCAGCCTGTGGAATAATGATGGACACATTCAGCTCAGACGTTATCCTAAGGAATCTGATCCAAAACAGGTTTCTGCTCTCAAAACAGAGTTTGGTGCCCTAGCAAAAAGCTTGCAGGGAAGTAATGATTTCTAATGGTGTTCTCCAAATGTCCTCTGGGATTTGGGATACTAAATGCTCTCTAGGATCTACCACAGAGCCGTGAATCCTCTCCCTTGGTGTTTGCAGGCAATAAAACAGCATTTGAGCTAATGTACTTCTGGAGCTGGATACAGAATGGGATGCTATTTCTAAACTCAGTGGGATCATCATCTTTAAGAAGCAGCAAAATAGTTGAGTGGGATTGAAGTAGACAAGGAAAAGCCTTGTCCCTGCAGCATCCCTTCTACCTGCATCCTCCAGCCCAAATAGAAATGCACTAAGAGATGGGACCCTCTTTCACATCCTTTCTTCACCACCTCTTGCCACACTCCTCTAAGTTGCCATCCACTCTTTCCCCTCATCTTTCTCCCTGCTTTGGGCATGTTATTCCTCTGTAATTGGAACTTTCCATGTAGCAAAATGCCATCCAAGAGCATTGCACCACCCCAGTGCTCACGGATGTGTGGCCACAGAATGGATTTTCCAGGCCTGGTTTTCTGGATCCAGGTCTGTGTCCCGGGTCAGCCTGGATGAGAGTCACAAAGCTCTCACAATGCTTGTAGAGAGTTAAGCCAAGATATAAATGAAAGAAACAAGGCAAGGCAAGAGGAGGGAGGAGGAGCAGCCAGGGACACTGAGCAACTCAGCCCTAC